TTAGCCGCACTAAAAGTGAGAACTCTTCACTAAAGATTTTCCATAAACACGCCCAATGGCCAAATTTGTAGCTGCGTGTTTGCATAGGCCGAGAAAGTAACAGCTCAACTTCCGCTTCAACAATTTGCTCGGTTCAAAGTTTTTTGACATAAATGCAAAAATAAATTACAAATATTATGACCAAGTAAGAATTATGCTGTCCTTCTTAAAAAAGTAGCATAAAAATAAAATAATAAAATAAATTATTGCCAGAGCCAGTATTTTGTGTGTTTTGCTCGAAGGTGAATGCTTTCTGGTAATTCCCGTGCAAAGCAGCTCAACACATTTGACAAAAAGTGAAATGTGGATCGAATGCTTGAAGTGCGTATAAAATAAATTGTTTGCAAAATTTTTTACAATTGACAAACTTGCACTGAAGCGCACTGACTTGTAAAAAATAAAAACAGCAAGTGCAGATAGCAGAAACCACCGCCCTCAACTTCACACGCACAGACTTTGTGAGTTTAGTCAAGGATATCAGTCTTCATTACATGCCTGAATGCTTCAAAGCCAGTAGATAGAATAATTGAATAGCCTCAGGCGGGTGCTGTCAAAAATGTTAGCTCTGCGTTCTAAGAAGCCACTGGGTAATTTGTCTTGAACAGGTTCCTTTATGCCTTTTCGAAATATGTTACCGAGTTATCATTTTGAATAATCTTCAGGACATGTTTGTAAAATATTTTGTATATGTTTGCAATCCTAGCACTATTTAAGATTAATAAAATTTATTTATCATAACTTAGTCAAAAACTCTTTATATCCGAGATTTTATATATAAACACATTGATATAAAAATCGAGTGGCCAGCAATAAATAAGTATCAGCGATGTTTCTTTTCAAGTCAATGCTAATAAAAAGGAGGAGGAATCATGAAAACCATTTTAATAATCAAATATTTTATAATCTATAATTCTCACCCCTGGTAAAATAATTGGTTGAAACAAATCTCATGCCTGGTGAGGTCAGATCCATATTAAAAACATCGACTTCAATAATTAAATTCCGTGAATTAGCACCCATAATTCTTACCCCTGGAAAGAATTTAATGCCCAGTAACCTATGATCCATCCTAAAAAAATCGAGCTCCACGGTTAATTGAATATGGAGTATCCTTAAACGCAGTTTACAACTCGAACAACAACCTTTCTTTGCTCCCTGAAGATTTTCAATAAAGAGAAATCCATTTCATGGCTTTGATTTGGTAGCAGTAATGAACATCAAACGAAATTGTCACAGAAGGCAATATATGTTTAATTTAAGATTACCATATTAGATCATTTAGTAAATCTTGAATGTGTCTTAACTCTGAGAACTCGCTACAAAAGTGATGAAGTAGATTTATATTTATTGGAAATCTTCAGGGAGCAAAAAAAGATTGGAGAAAGATTCAGGAAAAAGAAAGAACTTGCTACAAAAGTGATGATTCAGTAGTAGATACTTTTGTTACACTACTAGCAGACGAAATTGACATAAGGTCTGAAGGCACTATAGACAAAAGAGTAAAGAAATTGCTAGATATATGACTTCAGCATGGATTCATAACACAATGGTATCGTATATTTTTGTTAAAACATTTTTAAAACTCTCACTTTAAGTTAAATGGAAATTGGGTCAAGAAGTTTTTAGCGATAAAGTCGTTAGAATAGTATTATGGTATAGAAAAACTTGCTAGCTCCTATGTTGACGTGCTTCTAAAACCGCTAGAATGAAATTTTGCTTCTCCTTAAGTTTCTTTACACCTGATTAGGTTTTAAAGTCTCGGCTTATATTGATATAGTGAAGGAATAATAGGGTGTTAACATTATTTGAAAGAATTTAAGTTTGAAACTATTGGATTATATTGATGATATAGCATTGGATAATATGGTCCTAAATTTGTAACCTGCAGATATTGAATGGAAAGTACATTAAATTAAAAAAAGGAAATGGTCCAGATCGGTTAATACTGATTGACAGCAAAATGACTGTTAATATTCAACGTTTGTTTTCTTCTGTATTCATTACTGAGTTTGGGAGATTAAAACTTCGACCTAAAGCTCTACTGGAAATATTTCAAAATATTTCTCTGAGTCCAATATCCTGTTCAAACTCTAGTATCAAACTCTCTTCACTGAGTACTATTTCTTCCGACAGAAGATTACTACCTAAATAGCTCTTTTTTTTATCTGACTTGTTTCTTATGAAAACGGATCTGCTATTAAAAACTGTGTACCATAATTTAGCTTATAAAAAACTAAATATATGTAGAATAAATATTTGCTTATATTATAATATAAATAACTTTTAGGAAAGATAATTAATACATAGTCAGAATAATAAATACTATCAAATTTATATGGATATCCATATTTATTATATTTATAACAGCATAAATATTGCAGATATGTGCTACATTTTAGCACCACAATATAGTGACAGTTATGATTGTATTGATTTTTGAAATTACTATAGTTAATAATTCAATTAAATTGGTAGAAGTCAAATCAAAGTCTATGAATGTTTTTCAAAGTAATATCTGTATTTCATCTCTTATTATAGTTTTCTTTAAGTATTAATATATATAATATGTATATTGAATCTTTAACTGTAATTCAATAAAATAAGTTATAAAGGTTTTATCTTATGAATTCATTGTAATTGCATAAATCGTAGTCAACACAAAGCTTTTTTTTAGTAAATGTCTCAATGAATTCTTTAAATTTGCGTGTCGGAACACCTAAGCCACATGTGTCATCTCACGGTAACCATATCTCCATAACATCACACTTCATCGAGATCCAGTAAAAGTAAATCGAATGACATAACACGAAGATTTGTGTTAGAAAACACACAAAATATTTTTCCACGGTTTAGTTTTTGTACTAGGAATGTTGGAGGAACTGCAATGCAGTGTAAGGTAAATGTGAGTATTTTAGGCCGAACTGATAACGTCGCCATATTTTGCTTGCAAGCAAACATTATTAAGTAAAATTGCAGTTTTATGCAAATTTTTAAAAGGAAAAATTTTTACTTTGTGCCAATGAAGATAGCAGTAACTGCACTCATAGTTAAAGTTTGCAACAAATATGCAACTGCAACAGTTCAGAGATAATTTAACAACCCGACGTAGGAACTGTGAAAAAGTTAAAGGCGTTTGATTTCAATTAAGTTTCAAATATAATACTTAAATTTTGGGAAAATAAAGTTTTTTTTATCACTTTTTGTTAGTACTTTTATTTGAATTATCCATAAAGCAATGTAGATGTGAAAATATATCGATATTCTTTTTTGGAATCCAACTTATAAAGGTCATATGAGCTCCAAGTGCTACCACTCGATGTTACTGTCAACCCTAATTTCTCAACAAGGCTTTAACTACATTATTGATAAGACTTAAAATAGTAGCCATTTCGCTAATTAACAGAATATCTACCATTTGATAGGAGCCAATAAAGTAACTTATTTTTGGTGCTTATAAAAATCATTATTATAAAATCATTATCACAGGTAATAAAATTGAGACTTTGAGGGCATGTCCCTTGATGTCAAAAATAAATAACCTTATTAGAGCAATATCCACCAATTATAGGATACTCACCACTTGATACGAACCCAAAAAATTAAATTTTTACATATTGTCTTTTTATAGTGCTTGCCAAAAAGTTATCATCGGTGCTAATCTGACTGATGGTTGGTAGCTCCTAACAGTTATTAGATTCCAGATTTGCTAGTGGAGTTTCGTGAATTTACATGCTGTTCAAAATGTATAGACTGGAACTCGAGAACCTTTCCTCCTACTAGAACCAAAAATTGAGCAAAACAACAATCAAGAAGTGTTATAATATGCAGAATTCCTCTAAAAACATGTGTTAAAATACAAAAAGTATAATGCGTGGAAATGGTCTTTGCAATAAAATTAAGGAATTAATGGTGGTGCTAAAAAGCATTTCGCTGCTCTGTTGAAGCACTTTTCTTACTGATACATTGTTTTTCTATATGAATACTGTTTCCGTTTTATATAGTATGATTAATTTTAATATAGTATTACCAATGGGTGTTTATTAATAGTAAATTCTGTTATGTTAACATTATTGAACTGGCTAAGAAAATCCTTCTAAAAGAAGTTGGGTTTAATATATACATTGAACAAACATAAATAAGATTAGGTTTTGCAAATGTAATTTTTGTATGTTAGTGAAGAAGAAATATATTCTATGTAAGATGTATCCAGGAATTATTTGTTGAAAAATATTTGCAAATGATATCGCCATAGTTTTGTTGTTATAGGCGACCTGTACTAAATTAATATGCTAGTTCTGAACGAAATAAACTTCTTAGTATATTTATATGAAATATTTATTCTATTTAGAATATTAAATAAAAAAGGTTCAAACTTTCAATAGTATTCTGGCCAAATACAATTAGCAACCGCTCTGGCAAATGTGTAATCAAAAATAAATAAAATACTGCATAATAAGAAGACGATAAAGATGGATTGAGCACACACTCCGTAAAAACCCATTGATATATCAAGAGCCGCATTAGAACAGATTCCACCGTTTTCTAGGTAAACTAAAAATTGGGGGATCACGTAACATATGGAGAAGGTCAGTGTTAGTAGAGCTTGACTCTACAGGACTAAACTGGTTACAATTAAAAATAATATCTCTAAATAGAATAAGATATCATAATTGAACTGAAACCTTCTGGATCTAAGTAGAAAGAATAAAGGGAAAAACAAGTCAATGCACCCATAAATTTTAAACAAAAAGCGACTAGTCCCAAAACAGTGAACTACAACTACAACAAAAATGGAAAATAAAAGCCTTATAAAAAATTTATTTTATTTATGTGACAATAATTCAAAAAATTTGTTTTGTTGTTAACAACAACCGACTTTTTATTAAAATTTATTTTCTATTCAAATAGTTTACAAAGTTCAACTAAAATAATAAAACATTCGATATTATTTAACACTTGCACAAAAATTTAAACTGAGTTTTTCATTTGCATTTACTTCTAATCTGTCAGATTATGATGAAAATACGGTAAAGTACATTGGTTACGATAAGACACGTTAGCATGGCACTCCATTTGCACTCACCAGCCTTAAGGATCGAGAACGCATAATTGCAAGGTGTCTTGCCTACCTCGGAATCACAAGGACATACTTCTGCTACTGCACCCGCACCGAAGTTGCCTTTGTAACAGCCGGTTTCTTTATCAAGTTTTTCGTTGTGATCAATGCCACAGCCGTATATGATTACTTGTGCTGTAGTATAAAATAGAATAGTATGATGAATAAATTAGATGCATTGCTAATAAATATATTTGATTAATTATTTCAAAGAGCACTTCTGTTTCGTTGATGAATGACAGAACGAGAGCAGGGCTCTCATTTGACAGGTCACTATGCCCAGAGCCAAAAACAAAAGGACTAAACAAAGAGCTACGAAAGAAAAGACAAGAGGAAAAATAAACAAGTTACTTTACGTCGAGTTGATAAGTTTCTCTAATAAGGGAGAGCATGAACATTATGTTCACATCATAATCCAACAGTCATAGCGTGGTTCTCTCTAATGCTGAACAATAACAGAAAATATGCTCCGAGTTGTCCACATTTTTAATAGTTCGCTGTCATATCGGTTCTGTGATAACTCCAGCCGTAGCCATGTGTTGTCAACTAGTTCTGTGTCACTTGACTTCACCGATCAGTATTTTGGAGTCCTTTCTCTTTCGTTGTGAGAGAAATTTTGATATTTTGTCACAAGAGTACATTTTTGTTAATTTTCTCTTGTAAACATAGCTCAGAAACTCATTGACCTCACAATGGACTCCCAGCAAAGCCCTCATTGACCATGTAATCAGCTTATTTATTCCCTACGCTACCGCAGTGTCCTATTACGCATATAAAAAGTAGTTTATTATGTTCTCAAGATAGATGGCAGGATTAACAAGAACTTTTAGTGCAGCTTGACTTTTACAACAAACGCACTTTTTCTATATAATTAGCAAACCGGATTCTTTTACCAAGAACAAGGTCGCCATACTTCCAATAGGAAAAGAATATTAGATTTATCATGGTGATTAACGGTAATACAAAGTATATGTCGGTTATAGACAGAACAGGAGTTATTCGAACGGCCATCTGTTTGCTGATAAATCCTACAAAACCAACACTCTGCATGTTGCGCATCAAAGCTATAATTTTCTCATTTCTATATGAGGAAAAAGTATATACGTTATCACAGATTAAGAAGCGTTCTAGTAAAGTAATATCTTTGATCTTATATGAGTTGATGCTGTCTACCGCATTTAATTAAACCAAAAGAGATTTTTTACTACATTAATATTGTTCACCGAATTGATATGCGGTTCGGCCATGTCGTGACTAGGGTAGGCAATACTCCATTAAAAAAATTTTTTGAAGTGACAGTCAGAGAAATAAGTTATTTTGAAAAGACTATGTATCTTGTGTAGTAATTAGACTGAATGAACACTAATCGAACTATTTTTTATTTGGAAACCTTAGTAAACAACTAAATATGAATAATTATATAAAAATTAATTTAAATTTACCTTCTTCGTTTTTATAAATTGTACTTTTAGTACATGTCATACCAGACGTCATGGGACACGAAATTGAACCTCGATTATGTTTATAAGCATCCCATAAATCATCTGTATCTGGGGGCTCATCATTGTCTAAGAAAAATAAAATAAAATACTTTTTTAATATGTAATTAAATCTTAATTAAATTAAACTATTAGTCAAATAGAAATTGTCGTTAAGTAACTAATAAATAAAATTATTAATTATTAATATGGAGTACATAATTTTATTTATAATTATTATTAACATAGTATTTTTATATATTGAATTAGTAAAAAATATGTCTAAAAAAGCAATGAAAACTTGTCTTTTGTTTCATTATTTATATAAGATTATTTAACGAAATTTTTAATACATAAAGCCAGACTATTAACATTTATATTGAGAAAAAAAACATATTTTTGTAGAGTCTTGTTGTTGTTGTTGTGTGGTATGGTGCTGTTGCATATTTTTACTTTTTTATGGTTGGGGGCTTATCCCTACCTCACACTAAGCTTTAACTATACTAGAATTATTATCATTTATTTATCTTTTAACTGATGACGGACCGTAGATCAGCATATCTTCCTGTGCGTCCTGAGATGGATTTAAGGTTTGTTAGGATGAGGTTAAGCAAAAAGTATCGACTTTTGTGAATAATTTTAGGGCCCTGTCCTTGATATATTTTTTCACTGCGTCTACCCTTTGATCTCTATGCATATCTGTTGTCCTAATGTACCAAGGAATCTTAATTAGTCCTTTTAAAACCAGATTTTGTGTTATCTGTAATTGCTTTATGGCAGTATTTGACGCTTTGCTGTATGTTACACATCCGTACAGTAATGCTAATTATTTCTTTAAAAAATTACAAAAGAAGATTTATATTGTAAATTATTGACAATTGTTTTGTATGAACAAAGCATACATAAAATATTGTTTCAATATATCGGCTTGGAGTAGTCGTTCAATATTTCTGTAACCCGATAACAATTATATAGTGGACTCTTGTTGTGTATAACCATTTTTATTGCTCTAATATTTAACAATCCCCAACAGAAGATATATTCTCTAATAATAAACTACAATACAATTTATTTTCATACTAAGTGTCATTCTCAGATAATTATTTCTAAGATTAATAATGTTCCAAATTTAGAACAACCTATAAAGCATTTATTATTTTATGATGACTTAATTATTCACATACCAGTTATTATTATAGGGTCCTCACAAACTAGCCGATAACTTGGAGCTTTCTCGCATGTATTTTTAGATTTATCCTTTAGATCCCTGTACCAAGTTAATTTAAAACAAGCGGGATCTGGTAAATAAGTTATAACGATCGTTATTATGATTAAATGTAAAAGATTATTATATTATGGTATTTCTATACAAATAATTTAACATTTCCATATTAACAATGTATACAACTTACCCATCGCTTGCAGACCAATAAACCCGTGACACAACAAGTAACTCAGAAACAGTATTTTATACATCATCTATATTTCACTTTGATGGTAATTGAAGAAGGATTTAATATAATTTTTCTAGCTCTAAAGATACTTTCACAATAAAAAAATTCCAATTTTGAACTTTACTTCTTCTTACACAAACAATGACAATAACTATAAAATTCTCGATCTAAATGAAATTTATATTTCTTTTTCAGTTTCAAATCTGACAACAATTTTACAACTAACTCAAAAAATAGTTCAAAAAAAATTTAAACTTTACTTCGATATTTAATAAAGATATTTTGTTTGATTGCAATATTGATTTTTTAAATGATTTTTGACATATGATTGCAATATTCATTGAAATTTCCAATGAAAGTTGCCAATAATTCGCTTATTGCGTTGGCAACACTTTTTTCTTTTCTGGCTGATGTGTTTGACCAGTATACCTATACTGGCCGAGGTAGAGAAAATAGTGTAGTGTTGTTTTGAGTACATTTCGGCCAGTATAGGCCAGCAACTTGCTGTTTTTTGTCACACGTTAAAATAAAAATTAAAAAAAAATGGAACAAAAAAAACTCGGTAGAAATATGTGATCTTTTCAAATAGAAAAACGTTAATATAATTACCCAGTTCCACTTCTTGATTCTTGATTCTTCTTCTTGAGTTAGTGCTATTACGCACTATACTATACTATTACTCTATAATGGCTAAGGAGCTTATCTCTACCGGGGTTAAGCTATCAACTATCAACGCTATCAACTTTAGTGAATGATTTTTGAGCTCTGTCTCTGATATATTTTTTCACTGAGTCAATCCTAAGATCTCTATGTATGTTTGTTGATCTAATATACCATGGAATCTTACACACTCTTCTTAAAGCCAGGTTTTGTGCTATCTGAAATTGCTTTAGTTCCACTAGATTTACAGAATATAATTGCTGGGATATTAGTCTGTTGTGATTACAATAACCAAATAGCTTTTATTAATAAAAAACAGTATTTATTGCAACACAAACTTTTATTATTTTAATACAACTTTAGAAACATTAACTAATTGACTGACTGACCAACTGACTGAAAAAATCTGAATAAATATTTTTAAATAAAATATTTTTAAATATCAGAGAATCTGACAATTTTAGCCTACTTTGTTGATTCTCACCACACAGCCCCTTCTAGAATTTGACGGCTGCATCACGACAAATTCTATCCGTATTACACATTATTACTACCTCATAAGCCTCAATGGAAAACGCACTATTCTACCCACTCGAGTCACCTTCGGTGCTATCTGCTTGTTACTGTCATCATCTAACACCTTGACACTATCTTGGCAACAACCTTCATCAGCTTCATTTGCAAAATATGCTGGTTTCACTCGATCCATGCTGACGTTCATCGTGCGTCCTCTTGCCCTTATTGTTAGAGTTTTCTCACCACGACATAAAATTTCATATGGGCCCTCATACGGCTGTTTCAGTGGTGGTCGCACAGCGTCATCACGTAAGAATACGTGCGTACTGCTTTTCAAATCTTTAAATACGAATGGCTTTTCCGTCATATGACGCGATGTTTGTAATGGCTTCAGTTCGCTCATAGTTTCCCTTAACTTCTTAACAAACTCTGTTTGCGATACTTGCTTCAAATCACCATCAAACACCTCTCCTGGTAAACGTATATTTACCCCATAAATTAATTCCGACGGTGTCGCTTGCAAATCTTCTTTAAATGCCGCTCTTAATCCCATTACAACAATTGGCAAGGCCCTTGTCCATTCAACACTTGATTTACACTTCAGTGCAGACTTTAGCGTGCGATGAAAACGTTCAACAAGTCCATTTGACTGTGGATGATATGCTGTAGTTCGATGCCTTTCACACCCCAAAATTTTGGCTAGCTCATCGAAAAGCTTGGATTCAAATTGTCGTCCCTGGTCTGTCGTAATCCTTTTCGGCACACCATAATGCGCTATCCAATCCTTAATTAAAGCCTCAGCCACACATTCTGCCGTAATCTCCGCCAATGGTACCACCACCGGCCACCTTGAAAACCGGTCAATGCATGTCAGGCAATACCGCATACCATTACTATAGGGCAAAGGTCCCACGATATCAATATGAACATGCTCAAAACGTTGATCAGGAGCGTTGAAATCCTGCAACACAGTCCTGTTGTGCCGCTGGATTTTTGACTTTTGGCATGCCATGCATGTTTTCACCATTTGACTTATTTCAGTCTTCATTTTAGGCCAACAAAAACGAGAACTTATTAGTTTTATAGTTGCTTTTCTACCAGGATGAGCTAAATTGTGTAACATTTCAAACACTTGCGCTCGGAAGGACTTTGTAATAAACGGTCTCGGTTTCTTTCCGGATACATCACAATACACAGAAACACCCTCTGTAATTAACTCTACCAACTTGAGCTCCAGAGATGACGCTGTACAGTTTCTTATCAACTCGTTCATCTCTTGGTCAACTTTCTGAGCTTCTGCCAACTTATCATAGTCTAGTGATCGTCTAACTCCAGCCACTACACTTTCGACTCGAGATAAAGCATCTGCGACCGTATTTTTGCTGCCTGCTATATGCTGAATATCTGTTGTCAGCTGCCCGATAAAATCTAAATGGCGTAACTGACGTTCTGATGCTTTTTCAGATCTTTGTAAGAAAGCAAATGTAATCGGTTTATGATCCGTTAGCACAGTGCAATTCCTGCCCTCAATCATGTACCTGAAATACTTGACCGCCATATATATAGCAAGTAGCTCGCGGTCATAAGTACTATATCTTTTTTGAGTCTCTGTCAGCCTTTTGGAATAGAATCCCAGCGGTTGCATCTGTCCATCTATAAGCTGTTGCAACACTGCTCCTACTGCAACATTGCTAGCATCCACATTTAGCACCAGTTTCGCATTCGGAGCCGGGTGTGCTAGCATTGCAGCATTCGCCAGATTATTCTTACACACTTCAAATATTTTCTCGGCCTCTGCTGTCCAATCAATCAGAGATCTATCATTTTTCTTATTTCCTTTTAATAGCGCGTGCAGGATGCCATGATTTTTTGCGGCATTCGGGAGGAAACGCCTGTAAAAATTAATTGAAGCAATGAACCTTCTTAACTCTCGTACTTCCTTCGGTTTTTTAAAATTTCTTATCGCTTCTACCTTTTCAGCTATAGGTCTAATTCCATCCCCATTTATCTCACGTCGGGGTCACCAATGTTGTGATTACAATAACCAAATAGCTTTTATTAATAAAAAACAGTATTTATTGCAACACAAACTTTTATTATTTTAATACAACTTTAGAAACATTAACTAATTGACTGACTGACCAACTGACTGAAAAAATCTGAATAAATATTTTTAAATAAAATATTTTTAAATATCAGAGAATCTGACAATTTTAGCCTACTTTGTTGATTCTCACCACAAGTCTAATCACCGTTCAAGAATAAATCACCGTTCAATTTCTGCATTAGTGTGATTATTTCAATACGCTTTCGGTTCCTAACAACGCCTTAAAAATTTCTCCCACCATTTATAATGATGTTCTTCTCAACGGATAACACTGTCGGTATGACCATTTTCCTTATGTACTAGCTAAAAGAAATTTAATAAGTTAATAAATAGTTTTAATAATTTAATGTAACATTGCACTATATGTACTTTTTATATCGAAGTATCGACAAGGCCAAAAGTAATAAAATTTTCGATTTTAAAACCAAACTACAAACAGGATATTGTTCACTCCCTACTTTCTATCAGAGGATTATAAAACTTATGTATAACTGAGATATATTTCTTGAATTAAAGATATTAGTTATTTTTGATAAACTACGAGATATGAGACGTCGTAGTATGAATCTCGGTCTGGCAGGAATAAAGCTGCATGAAAATAAAAAATACAAAGTAAATGCGCTAAAATAAGTAGGTGTATTAAAATATTACTAAATACGGAAAATAAAAAATAAAAAAAATAACATGAATTCGTCAAAATATTAGGTCTAATCCATGAGCTATTCGTAGTAACTTTGAGTAACACTGTGTATACACAAATGCTTTCCACGAGTAAATTCTCGAGTAAATGAAATCATCTAAGAAAGCGCAACATCCCTGTCGAAATTTGAAAATGCTATACAGACTTTACTCGTACATTTTATTTCAAGTAAAATTTATGGTGATGTAAGAATCAGCTGTTTTGGTTTGAATTTCAATTTTTGTATTGTTTATTTACGCGGTACTGTTGTTCTCACCAGACTTTACACAAAGCCGTTCCACTGAAAACTTGTGTAATGAGCGTAATTTGGCACTCTATTTGTGTTACGCTCTTAGTTTGTACTTTACTTCACGGTTGCCACTTGAAAATGTTTTTCTGTACCAAAATTGGTTTAAAAAGGTACCATTTCTGTTTTTGTTTTCTTGTTCTGTGTTTTTCATAGTGTTATAAATGAACAAAATATAAAATAGTGCAAAGTTGCGTTTATAAAAAAAATTAATTGGAAATATCCACAATAAAGTTGGGTCGTCAAAAATGTACCATTTTTTGACGGTGAGTACCAAACGAAAAAAAAAAAAAGTACCAATTTTGGTACTAAAGTACCATAAGTGGCAACCGTGCTTTACTTGTATATTACTTGGGTTTTACTACGAGTAGCTCGTGGAACAGACCACTCTAACAGGCACTCTATTTGTGTTACGCTCTTAGTTTGTAGTTTACTTGTATTTTACTTGGTTTTACTACGAGTAGCTCGTGGAACGGACCTAATATTTGACTGCCTGCTCAAATAAGACTTTGTAAATTTTTGGATCGTGGCGGCAACTCACTTAATGCAAACATTGCGTTGGAGATATCTATTTTGGACATACTAAGGTCCACCGACGATAAACTTTCTTTCGAAATTATTGGATCTTCTTAGAACTGCTAGAAAAAGATTAATCCAGCAGTTGATTTATGTGGTCGTATGTACCAGAGCAATTCGTTACATTAGGATAGGGCAGATCAGCTGCTCATGAGATAATGCATATTTTTCTATTTTAATGCAAATTATTTAAGGTTTAGTATTTACGGTCATGCTTAAGTATTTGACAGCATTATGTATAACATTTATGTATAGTGGAAGATATTGTGCTCTATTGTACATGAAGTTTA